ATTAATGACCATGGAGAGTCAGGAGTTTGGTTTTACGTCTCATCCGAAGGATGGCACCTTTTTACAGTATAGTGTATAGTATAGTGTCGCCCCAGGGAGACCGCAGGGTGAGCCCCCCCATCTGGCCCCAATAACACCTCTTCCAGCAGCAACCTTAGTTTTTCCCAGGAGGTCTCCCATCCAGGTACTGACCAGGCACACACCTGCTGAGCTTCGGTGGGTTGGCAGTTGAGTTGCAGGGTGATACAGCTGCTGGTTTTAGGCTTGTCAGGCACTCTTGAAAATTTGTCAGCAACAGTTTTAGAACACATTCCAACAATGGGAAGAAAAGTGTTGTTTCACTGTATATCTTTACCACTTTTCTGTGTGGTAACCAGGACACCCACGATAGGTAATAGGGGCTAGATGGTGAGGCACATCTAGTGGTTGGTGAGTGCTGTTACCAGTTTTTTAATAGGCAGGAAAACAGACATAAACACAGCTGTATGGTACAAAACCAGTGCTATTTATTAGTTTACAGTGTGAGAAAATACAAAACTACAAACATAAAAGCCTAGCACTTCTTTAAGCTCCTAGCTTAACTTCTTCCTGTGTTCCTCTCTAATAACACACCAGGCAGCTAAGCTGCGTGCTGGCTTCAAAACATTCACAATAAAAACCACACGTTTCTCTGAAAAAAAGCTGCCTCACGCTGACTGACCTCTCTCCCTCGCTCTACTGTATCTCTCTGGTTTTCTTCTTTGAGGCCTCGCCTTACTGGTTTTCAAGTCATCACCTGACCAGTTGTCTTCTCCCATTGGTCAGGTGACTGAGTGTGGCAGGACAGTCCCCATTGCTTTCTGGGAAATGGAGCTCAGGCCAGAATGTAGTTCGTACCTGAACCTGACGTCTCCTCACAATGTTTTCTGTCTTTACTTTAGACACATTCTTTAGGAGATCAGGCTGTTGTTATACCCATTCTTTTACAAAGTGTATGAAGATCTTATTGCTGTTTAAAGCAGGCAGCAATTTTAAGGTCTTATTCGATCTAAACTAAAATGTACCAATTTCACCCCTCATCAACTATAAAAAGTCACAAATGAAGATGAGCATGGGGAATGCAGTTTGTGTTAAAAATACAAGGAAAATTAAAACTGCCATTGGATAACAGTTTCATCCATTTCATTTCAAGCTTTAGGAAGATTGCATCTCTAGAACATTCTGGACCAGGTGTTGACTTACGCACAAGATCCTGCTTTTAGTAAAACCTAAAAACGATCAAACCATTTCGACCCGTTGAGAGACTTGCGTGTTTTTCGTGAAATCCAGACCGGTGTCCCCAAACTCGTTTTGTTTCTCTCCAGTTCCGAAGGACCTGTTGGCAGACCTGCCTGAAGGAGAGGATGCGGAACGGAGCGACCTGTCCTTTCTGAAGGACCTGTTGAGCCCAGGGCCTGCTGGGAATGAGGAGTTCAACAGAGAGTGGCACGATGCCTTTGGCAACTTTGAGGCCAGCACGGCCTCTGCCCCACTCCCGGGCCCCACAGCGGCCCTGTCACCCGATCAGCCCTCGAGCCCCACTGGCTTCTTACCCTCCCAGCTCCTTGATCGCAGCTTCAGCTCCACAGGTCAGTGGTGCCTGGAAATGAGCACTTCACCGCCTAATGATTTGGGACATATTGGAACTGTGTTTGCCTTCTTGTAGAAGAGATAGTGCCTCATCCCTGCAGAGTTCCAGACACCGATCGACTCATAAAGGCTGTAATGCCCGCACGTGGTGGCCTAACACCCTATTAGTATAATAATAATTCCTTACACTTATATAGTGCTTTTCTGGAATCTCCATTCAAAGTGCTTTACAGGTAATGGGGAATCCCACTACTGCCACCAATGTGTAGTCCCCAACTGGATGATGGTTATTAATTATTTTTGAATAGGTGTTTCCATTTTTTGTCCACATGCAACTGGGAGAGCGTGTTCGTTTTGGTTTCATGCCTTCTGCGTCTGAATCGCCTTCATTAAGGTTTGCCTCATGTTGTCTTGTGTCTCAGGATGGGCCACACCTCCCATGTTCCAGGCTCAGCCATTGCAAACTCCTCAGGCTCCCTCTCAGCCGGTTAGCCCACCCACGCCTCCTCCGAATGCCCCAAAGATGACAAGCAAGGGTGAGTGCACTTGGTGCCGGGAAGAAGCTGTGTCTTGTTTGGTATGATGTAGTACAATTCAGTATTCAGTACAATTCAGTATTGCAAGGTTGGCAGGTACACATCAGCAGACAATAGCAAACCCACAGTATCCTTCCTCTTCAGGTTTTTGTAAAAGTTCTTGCCAGTAAAGATATCAAAATCATGCATTTTCTCATCTTTAGAATTTTCTGCAAACAGCTGAGTAGTAGACGGTAACAATGACAAATTGTCCAAACTAAACGAGTTAACACATTTTGGATCCTAACACTTTTTTTTTTTGTTTTAAAGTGTTCTTTTGTCATATGCTTTTAGGCTATAAAGGCTTGATGTAGTATGGTAAGAGAAACTGTTTTTTAGAGTAAAATGAGGTTATTAAGTGAGGGCTACAGTGATCATTTCAGTCAAGATCACCACCTCACATCAATTATCGAAGTGATGGTGGCTCGACTCCCTCCATCAGTCACGTGGTTTAGCATTAGAATAGTTTAAAGTGCATCTTGTCAATCGCCGTAATTCAACTGGCGTTTATCCCTCTTTTTGCACATTTCGGAGTGAAAGTGCCTAGGGCCTAGGGACACCAAAATCCGGCCCTGCTTTAACGCTCAGCTGATGGCACGTCCCAGACTCAAACCAGGAAAGAGTGGACTGTCAGGGCCAGCCTGAGGCCACCCTTTACTGATTGTCCCACTTTTTTTAAGTGGGAGAAGTAGTAGGTTGGATCATTATTTCCTGATTCTTTTTAGTAGTTCAACCAGAGGTTCCTTCATCCATCCACTTTCTAACCGGTTCATCCGATGAGCAAGCAACAGGCGCAAGGCAGGGTTCACCTTGGATGGGACACCTGTCCATCACAGGGCACACACACACACATACACCAGGGCCAGTTTTCCCAGAAGCCAGTTTACCTGCCTGTATATCTTTGAACTTTGGGAGGGAACCAGAGCACCCTGTAGACTTACTCACACCAACACACAAACTTACCAGGAACTGGACTGAGGACCTCAGTACTACAATGAAGCCATACTAACCACTGCATCGCTAGCTTTTGCTTTTTAGACACCAGTAATTCTCCTACCCTTGGCATATTGCATCTAGCTTACTTACTGGTGAGCAGCAGCATTTTTAACTTGATTCTGAAGGGATCCACAGAGAGCAATAGAATGTGTGAACAGGTGGTACTGTATATGTTCATGCATTTGAGGTGATATACAGTACACTCATGCATTTGCACTGTATTCACAGTTTATTTTGACCCTGCCCTTTAATAAAGGATACCTGGTGTAATCTGAATTATTAGCAGGGAGGATGAAACAGCTTCGTAGTGCCTTCAGAGCTCTGGGCAGACTGACCAGTCTTATTGACAAACCAAAACCTATAATGTGCTTGGCTTAAATTTAGGGAAAGGAGATTTATTTTCATTATGGTCGAGGAACTATTTGTCCCATTTTAAATCCACAAAGAAAGTTTCTCTCTTGCTTATACGTAAATGTATTTTTGTATAGGCACTAAAGGCTGTTTCGGGACAGACTGGTTGTGCTGAGCTGTATTTCCTCAGCTCGTCATGTGATGAATTTTGTCCAGTTTTGACTGTATTAGGTTTCATCTGCGTGGGTAATTGATTGGACGGAGGGCGTAGAAGCTCTGGAACTCACTCCAACTGTACATAGCCTGTAAACATTAGTTTGTGAGTCTTGGCCTTATGTGTTTGTCGCTCACTGAATTTTGAATTGTCTTGACTGTTTCCCACTCATCACATGATTCATAGAAAATGACCACATGAACGTTGTGCCCATTGCTTGCTGGGAGAGACCCCGGCTCCCCCCTACCACCCCGATTTGGATGTAGTGGTTCGGAAATAAACGGTATTTGCTATAATTTGAAATAACCGCTGATTCCTTTGTTAACTCGAGGCCCGAAACAGAGTTCTCCTTTTTGTCATGTTGTGTAACAGGAGTGAGAAATGATTTCTGGGTTTGTTATGGCTGGAGCCCTTTCATGAGGGGGAGCTGGGAATGACTGGGTTTGGACAAGGGCGATGCCCACTCTTCGTGTGAAAGCGTTTGTGCCGCGTTCACAAAAGCCCCAAGATTCAGGCGGAGGGCTGTTGATTCAGCCGCAACGCAGGGCTCTCTGTCTGCCGCCAGCTGGTTTGCATGACTGCACGGACTCAGACATCTTTCCTCTCGTTCCCTCCCCCCCTCTGTCCCCTTGCATTTCCTCCATGGCCATCAATCTGTGCCTGGGACATCCACGCAGAGTCGTCAGGATAAGTAGCTGCCATCCAGTATCCGAACTGCAGGAAGAAAACTTAAGTTCCGTTGCTGAGAAAATTCCAGTTTTCTGTTTTATAGGAAAAAATGAGCTCAGTAACGTATATAAGTATAGGTCAAAGATCGAAAGATTTCTGTTTACCAGGTATTAATGGCAGGACGACATGCAGAAAGGTCGCTTTATCTGATGACGGTGAACTCTTTTGTGTCGGCCCTCGTGGTGATCATTATTTCCCCATGGCTTCTCGGCCCTGTTTGGAGCCCTTGTGTAAAACACACAGGCCTCGCTGTGGACCCGCACTGCTCTCACATACTTGCTGTTTTTACAGCCTGGCACTTCATGATGAAGCATTTAAGCTTATTATTGTCCCAAAGCATTCCCACACGGATCAGTCAGCTGTTTTCTGAACTTTGTTTCTTTAGGTTTCTAAGTAACTGCTTTACAGAGTCATCAGTAGGTGGCACTTTAGATATTCAAGCCTGAAACAGCTCGTGGAAGTACAGGGCCCTCCTCAGCTACAGCACTGAATACTGTACATTTGAATAGAAGGGGTAGGATTCAGATCTTTCATTTTTTTACAAGCCCAATTTTCTACTTTGTGTTTATGACCTATTCTTAAGGTATTTTAAGAAAACATTTGGATTACTTTAAGAATTCCTTTATGAATTGTGTAATCTTTCTGATTTTACATTGACACAGTGAGGCAGGAGCTTTGAAAGCCCTGGAAAGCTTTAGGAGTACTTTGATTGCTACCAGTTGCAGTTTCCCGTAATGTTATTAATTTCATATCCACTTTCTGTGAAGAACCTTTTTATTTTTTTTTACCAGTTTTTGTTCTGGGAACCATTAGAACCATTGTTCGTTTTTGTTTATAGCAGCTATCAGCAGTCTAATTCTAAAGACACCAGCTGTTAGTAGTATTGTGCTTCTCGTATTTTTAAAACAGAAGGCGGTTGGAAAATGCTGCCAATTCTGAAAACATGAAAAAAATCTGCCAATTAAGCAGGAAAGAGACTCACGAGGGAGCCAAGACTCTACAGCTGGTATTTAAGAAGCTCTCGCAGATGAACTAACTGGGAGTGGGGTGCCTTCACAACTATTGAATTCCACAGCAGGTGGATCTGAGAGAGAAAGATCAGGCGTGGAGCGCAAACACTTTCACAGTGATTGCAGCCTTATCACACACGCAGACGAACCTGTCCCTAATCCGTCCAGGAATAAACCCTCTGTCACTTTGATAGTTCCAAGGCACATTTTCGAACTCGCTTGCCTCTTGGCGAAAACCAACCGGAATCTAATTTGTCTCGTGATGAATGAGTGAAAGATGAGAGATAGGTATGTCTGGAGCACTGTATGGCGTGAGCTCAACTCTGTGGGGAATTAAGCCTTTATGAAAAAAGCCGAAGAAGGCCATTAGACAGCATTCTCTGGAGGGGACTCAGGTCACCCATTTCAGTTTTAAAAGGGCTTGACATCATTGAGCAACGCAGGCTCCTTTACTTTTGACCCCATGCTCTGGGTTATGGTATCAGCTTCTTTGGAAATGGGAGACGCCCACTGTGAGGATTTGAAATATTTATCATCGCCGCAGGAGTTATCTTTCACACGCTTGCATGCAGCCTAAACTTGAAAAATCCCATTATTGAACGAGGGGAAGGCAGACCAGAAACGGCTTTGGTTTCAGATCTCGGGAACCAAGTTGTCAGGGCTGATCGGTCACAACAAAAAGATACAGTGGATAAATAGAAAATGACTTTTTTAATATACATTCTTGGCCTATTGAAAATGTGTCTTCTTGTAATGACTGTTGTGGTTTCAAGTTTCATCTTGACATCCCAGTAGTATTTATACAAAGTTCCGCTGTGCCTGCTGTGATTTTCTCTCTTAGAGCTGTCAGTTTTTCCCCGTTCCACATTAATTTGTGTTGGAATTCCAGCTTGTTTGGGTAACTAGAGAAGCCTGGGTTCTGCCTGCTGCTTATTTATTTATTTGATGTTGGATTTTGTTTACACGGGCAGAGTGCTGACCTTCTGAGCTGGCTTCTAGTGTCCAAATGACAGTATCTGCAGAATCCATGTCCATAAACGTCCTGGGATAAACTAGTGGAAAAAATATTAATGCTGACATTGCTTTCGTTATGCTGTATTCCATGTTGGTTTTGCAAAATGAGTTCTGTTTTTTTTTTGTAATACCTCTGATGAAATAAAGTGGAACACCCGCAGGCATGATTTAAAGGGGAATTGCAGTCCCAATTTCTCAAACTCCTTATTAAACCGTGGTGACAAGTTCATTGACTGTATAGATACATTTACCAATTTTGAATTAAGCACAAAACCGTGAAAATTCTGCAAGGACTGGAAGTCGCCATGTTGTCGCAAAACCCCTGGTCTCTCCACGGGCAAGAGAGCGAGTTCCCTGTGATGTGAGGCGGCCCTTCCCCCTCACTAGTCACTGTGCTGGCTAATGAGAGGCGATGCACGAGCGATAAGTACAGGTTATGCAGCAGATATTTCACCACAGAAAGTTTCCAACGTGATCTGCCCGCAGAGTTAACGAGGAGAATTTGTCGACAAAACCGCCTCGAGAGTCGAGAGCAATACTTCTGTTGCCAAGTTTTCACAAGCCTGCTTGTTTGCAATGTAATAAGGCCACCACACGTTGCCTCATTCTGATCCGCAGAACATGGCGCTGCTTGTCTCTTTTATGATGTCTTTTGAAGGTTTTACAAGTTCGATTCAATTCAGTTTTATTCGAATAGCGCTTTTTACAATGGACAAGGTCACAAAGCAGCTTTGCGGATTTCCGGGCCTGAACACCCCAGTGACCAAGCTTAAGGCGACAGTGGCAAGGAACAAGTCCCTCAGATTAAAGTAGGAAGAAACCTTGAGAGGAACCAAGGCTCAAAAGGGGAGCCTGTTCTCTTCAGGCCGGCACCGGGTTACTGTGTAGCTGTGTTGTAGTGCACTCATCGATGCCGATTCTTTCTAGCCCCCGAAATATAAAAATAGCTTTGCAGTTCTCCTTTAAGCACTATTGTCCATGGAGTGTCTTATTAATACCCTGTCTCAGGCAGGGCTGGCAGATTTAACACACAGCTCTCGTTTCATCCCTCATTCTAACTCCCCTGCATCCTTCTTTTCCCCTGCAGCCTCCAAAAGCTCCCGCAGGGACATGTCGGCCTGGTTCAACCTGTTTGCCGACCTGGACCCTCTGGCCAACCCAGATGCGATCGGCCGCTCGGACGACGAGCTGTTAAATGCCTGAAGGGGGCGCCGGTGGGAGAGGACGGTGTGACCAACACGAGGGTCCGGCCCCCCCGCGGACTGGTTAGGTTCGGCTGGGTTGTGGGGCGTGGGTCGTCATCTTGCCTCATAATTCTGGACCGCCTTGCGAGAAAGACAGGGTTATCGATTTCTCCCAAGATACAACTTAGCCTATAAAGACAACCTTTCATCTTTAAACTGGGGAGGAGCGTTGTCACAGAAAATCGTGTGTGAAAAGAAAGAGACTCGCTCTCCTTGGCCGAGACTCAGCTCCGTGAGGTTAGCGTCCGTAAATGAGAAAAACAAAGCAAATTCTTGAGTCTGCAGGGTTTATGACCCCGGAGAATCTCTCCATTTGGATCAACAAGTACATATTTAACTCTTAAATTTGTATTATTTTTAAGGTTTTTCTGAACTTCAAACCGAAAGATCTGGTTCCGTATGTTTTTGTATAAGGCGTTGAGCAGATACAGAGTTTAATTGAAAAGTAAACTAGATGGAACAGGTTTGCTGACAGAAGAAGTCAGGCTTGATGATAAAGCTGGAATGATCAGTTTTCTGTATCTGTCGATTTCTAAAAAAGTCGATGCATCTTTTAATCAAAGCTGTGGAACGGTAAAAATACAACAGCTCAGATCTCTGGATTAAATAACCACAGTGATCAAATCGACCCATTTGTGCACTCTGCAGCTCAAGAAATTGATTTATTTTCTTTCACACATGGAGTCGCTGAGTCTGAAGAGGAGTTAGCAAAGAAGCTCTCTGCTCAGGCAAAACTCTGAAACAGAAGACCAAAAAATTCAGTGTGTGGTATCGTCTATCAGATGACGCAGTGTGTCAGTGGATCAGCTCATCTTTAGCTGAAAACACATGGTTTAATCACATGGGTGATTAAGTGACTGAATTGCAATATTGTTTCATTTCCCGTGGTCAGAGAGCTGAGAGTAAAACCCTGTTCTGTCTGGCAGTCCTCTGGAATTATGGCACCAGGTGTCCACCCTAGAAATAGACCTTTTGAGTTCTTATGCATTACTGTAGTCAAAGGGACTTGATGTAATGGGAAATTATATTGTTTTTAATGCTGTTTTTTGTGTTTTGGTTTTTAAAACAGTATTTAATATGAATGACATTTTCACATTCCCCCGGCTCTGAATTCGCTACAATGAGACTGGAAGCCAGCAGGGCTGTCCACTGAATGATTAAAACTGAAGTGCAGCTCAAATAAAGTGTTCTGTGCTAAAGCTGATAACCATAAGGATGGTGTTTCTTCAGTTCTCTTCAAATGATCACACAATATACTCGGTAAAATAAAACAGCTAAGGAATAATAGGTACACTATATGTGCTACAATTATTATGATCGTTTATTTAGTTATATACTTCAGCACAAGAGCACCAAAAACATTTCAGTCTGTATTATTTATGTAGTTCTGGAGATATCTAAATAAAGCAACGATAGAGCAAATAGTGAGAAATTGCTAACAAAGAATCCAGTAGCCAGCACTAGTGAAACCTCCTTTCAACAGACAGAAGCTGGACTATTATTTATTGCGCACAAAATAAATTTAAGCAGCTTCTGTGCTGTTTGTTTCTACCTTGAAATTGTCAAGGTTTTTTACTGTAGTCGTTACAGGAAAAAAAAAAAACTGCTGTTTTCTTTAGCTTTGGCTCATAGTGAGAAAAAAGATATAGCAAATGGGGAATATATTTTATTAACCCTAAATGGCTGCCAATGGTTAGATGGCTGAGAATATAATAGGGAAGAAGCTAACAAGGTTTGGAGTATATTTGGGAATGTTGTGTGAATTAGTGGCTTGTGTGAAGATGCCACTGGAATGCAGTGGTGATGTGAGGTTTCTTTTGGAATCCAATGTTCCATGTGCTACAGATCTAACAGTCCCAGACGAGAAATACTTCTGTTGTATGAACCACTTAAGACATCAGCATCCCAAAAGCACACTTACACATGCCCAGCACTTTACTTTCTCACTGCCTGGCACTGCTGGATCGTCTGTGACCATGCAGTCCTACTGTTTCAAACCTGGTCTAACGTGGCTGCTTGTGTAAAGGTTGCATTGACTTTATTTAAGACTGTTTACTTGGTTTTCAGTGTGTAAAGCAGCCTTTTCATTAAATAGAAATGTTTCATCGAATGGGATGGGTTAAAAAGATTTTAAATTCTTAAAAAAATAGACATTGGATAAATTGCTAAGCATTTTTGAGTGAATCAGAAAACAAAGACTAGCTTAGAACTCGATAAGACGATAAGGCTGAGATGTTTAAGATAAACCCATACCGCATATACAGACAGAATTTGTCAGGCCTTTCAAATCATGATGAATATTTGACCAAAATTTAACAGCAACTGTAGCTGGTCTTCCTGCCACTGCAAAGAACTGTAATGGCTTCACAAACTCTGCCTGGCAGTAGTTGTGGACTTTAAAATGTTATTTTAGGGAAGCTGGTTTAGAACTTGAACGCTATTGATCTGTAAAATCTGTCAGGAGGGACGAGGTATTCTGCTGCTGAAGAGAGGCTGTAGGAATAAAAATGAAAATGATCATCAGGAGAAATGTTTGAAGCATGCGAAGAGGATAATTCTGAAGAGTGTAATGGCAACTTCCTCGCCTCAAAATTGTCCTGGCTGTAGATACAGAAAATGATTGTCCATTTTACCCTTAAATCTGCACCCACTATGCACACTTCATGTCTTCAGTACTGCTTTTTCCAGCTAGTAAAAGCTTTGAGCAGTGGCATCTTTCATGACTCAAGAATCTCAGTAGACGAAGGCTGTGGAGTTTTCTTACATTATACCGCTGAAAACAAAAGTGGTGATTGCAGTATATCTGGAAGCAACACTTGCCTTGCTGTTACAAACTGGCCATTGCATTTTTATGTGTGTTTATTTTGAAATGTGTTTTAATGTGTGCTGTTCTAAGTTACCTGCATTTATAAAGAAACTGTTAGGACATTTATAGAATGTTCTGTACACCTAACTGTTTCAGTGGTGCAGAGATTGTCATGAAATCTGTGTATGAATTCTGCATTAATGGCTAAGCAGACCATAGATCATAAGTTTTAATACAGGTTGACAGTATGTGCCTTTTAGAAGACAATATGATGAAACAGTACAACCATTTTAATATTGCTAAAGTTCCTTGTTTTGTCTGTGAAATTTGCCCTGATAATGCAAAGAAATGAAAGCGATGCAGGAAATCAGTGGGGAATCTGGGATTCAAGTGATCATTTTTATCCATGATCCCGTTTATTGTAACGTTAAAGGTTTTGAAATCACATCTGTCTTTTTCCAACACATTCAATCAAAGGAAAGACTCAATTACATCACATTCAGTTTCCATGTATGAGTCTAGGGACCAGTCGGATTCAGCACAAAACAGAGCACATATGGGACTTCTGCATAGTAGGATATAGGACCTCTGAGATGTTGGCCTGTTCTGATTAGTATCACAGTGAGCACTGCCGCCACAGTGAGCTAATTAAATTTGAAGTAAATGTGCATTTTATAGCCCTCAGAATGATCTTCATTCTTCAAAACAATTTGAATTGGGGCCCTCTTTTCCTTTTTGGGAAACTTTTTTTTTCTGGTTTGGTTATCGGGCATCATTTTGTGAAAGACCCAGGCCCCGGCCTTGCAGTGCTACCGTTTTTCTGCTTTTCAAACATACTTTTCAGTCACTTAGACCGATACGGTTATTGCTCTCAATGGAGCTTGTATTCCCCCTGGGGAGACTGCTGGAGCACAATCACTCCAAGTTCCTAGATTCTCATCTGAGACGTTGTGAGAGCAGGGCTGTTTCTCACCTCTCGTAGATGTATTTGAAATGGTTAACCTGTTTTACTCACTCACTGCCATGAAGAGAAGAGCATGTTTAACTGTTAACTCTTTATCCTCCCTTCTTTGTTTCCCAACAAATCTTTTGTGTGGCTTCAGTTGACACTACAGGTATGTTCGTTTCTCGCATTAGGAGTTCAGAAGTGTGGTTGTGGGTTTTTCTGATTAATGAAAAAAAATGCAAATGAATGTGCAGTATTGATCTTTTCAGTCATGTTTTTTTTTTTTGGGTGAAGGAGAGATCACTAATGTTTCGTTTTGTTTTTATTTTTTACACGGGCGAGAATGTATTTCCAAGAGGATCACAAATTCTTTTGATCTTAACACTATTTTTTTCCAATCTATACCTGTATTGATAAAAAAAAACATGTTTGCTTGAATCTTAAAACTTTGTACACAAAAAATAAAGGTTTGGGAGTCATTCTAACATATTCAAACTTTTCTGTACTTGTTCTTGAGTTGGATGTGGACTGATATGTGACATAGTCTGGCATTGTGTCCGATCATTTACTCTATTTCTATTGTTAGTCACATAATAATTAATAGCTTACACTTATATAGCGCTTTTCTGGACACTCCACTCAAAGCGCTTTACAGGTAATGGGGATCCCCTCCACCACCACCAGTGTGCAGCCCCACCTGGAT